CACTTGTTACTAGTAGCGATGCACTTGTTCCTAGTAGCTTAATTGTTGCTATTCTAATTCTTGTTGCTAATAGCTTCTTGTTCCTAGTAGCGATGCCAGGAGCCCCTAGTAGCGTCCTTGCTCCTAGTAGTGATGCCAGGTGTCCTTCCATGTGTTTCCTTTGACTGAGACCTTCTTCCCTTCTTTCTGTTCTATTTCTTAACAGGAGGTAAGGTGCGGGCGTCGTGTCGGGGACGATGTTTTTGTTCCATCCATTTTGTGTCACTCAGAGGAAGGCGCCTGCACAGGTGGTTGATGATCTTACAGATGAACAGGTGGTTGATGGTTTTTGGCACGTTGGAAAGAGAAGGCTACATGGCGCATTCATGCGCGTAGGCTGCGAACATTTCCTGTGCATGTGATGGATAAACACATTTCAATTGTTTCTACAGAACTGCAACCCCACAACCGGGTCATCCACGTGTTTGCCCTTCAACGAACGTCAGATGTACAGCAACAGCACCGGCGTGGACAAGATGCCTGGCGCCGCAAAGGGCCGACCCTGGGCGATTGAGGGCTCTGTGAAAGCTAGGGAGAACTGAGTGTGACCATTTGACAGGTGTTGAACACGCATCGTCTCTAAAGCTATGTGAGCACGGTACGCTTCTTGCAGACCTGACCTCCCTCTTCCAATCTCAGCGCTTGTTCAACTCCCACTTAGGATCCAATCTCAAAGCCAGGGCGGTCCGAAACCAATAAATTTCAGATCCACAACATATATGCCTACCCTCCATGTGGGGGAGAAAGGAATGAGTTATTCAACCACGCCAAACAACCTACTCCCCTCCAACCTGCTAGCAACGGCCTCCAATCTACTAGCGATGGCCTCCACCCTACTATTCAATGGCCTCCAACCTACTAGCAATGGCCTCCAACCCACTAGCAAGGGCCTCCCCCTCTGCAATGGCCTCCAGCCTACTAGCAATGGCGCCTCCAGCCTACTAGCAATGGCCTCCACCCTACTAGCAATAGCCTCCAGCCTACTAGCAATGGCCTCCAGCCTACTAGCAATGGCCTCCAGCCTACTAGCAATGGCGCCTCCATCCTGCTAGCAATGGCGCCTCCACCCTACTATCAATGGCTTCCACCCTGCTAGCTATGGCGCCTCCAGCCTACTAGCAATGGCGCCTCCACCCTACTATCAATGGCCTCGAGCCTGCTAGCAATGGCCTCCAGCCTACTAGCAATGGCGCCTCCACCCTGCAGCCTACTAGCAATGGCGCCTCCACCCTACTATCAATGGCCTCCAGCCTACTAGCAATGGCCTCCAGCCTACTAGCAATGGCGCCTCCACCCTGCTAGCAATGGAGCCTCCACCCTGCTAGCAATCCTACTAGCAATGGCCTCCAGCCTGCGCCTCCACCCTGCTAGCAATGGCCTCCAGCCCTGCTAACAATGGCGCCTCCACCCTGCTAGCAATGGCCTCCAGCCTACTAGCAA